AATAAGTTGATATCGACGAAAGAAGGTATTTTTGACGATAATCCATTTTGTAACATCAGTAATAACAATAATAAATTGTCGTTTGAATAAATAATATTGCAAAGTTGGGTTATGCAGTGTGGCTGTCAGAGAAAAAAATATAGCCTACGATAGTGAGCCTTGGGATATAACTAGCCGTTGGCTGCCTGAAATACTTTTAGTCATATTTAGTAAGGTAAATGTTTGTCATGTCTGCCGTCAAATATGGTCGTTACAAATAAACATTCCCTGAGTCATCTGTTTTTTTTTTCTGTATACTCATATCTATCTATCTATCTATCTATCTATCTATCTATCTATCTATCTATCTCAGTCCTTTTCATATCTATCTATCTATCTATCTATCTATCTCAGTCCTTTTCATATCTATCTATCTATCTATCTATCTATCTATCTATCTCAAGTCTTTTTCATATCTATCTCTATGTCTATTATATCTATCTATTTATCTATGTGCATTAAGGGATATATATTTGGATTAAATTTTATAACATTCTTATGTCGTATCCCATCCAAGCCAAGGCGCATTAAAGGTACCTTTGCTTTTGACTTTTGCAACAATCGATCGGTTATGAGAATGGACGCCGTAATGGAATGATCGATCTTTTTACCTAATGGAAAACTCAACTGTTCGATCAGCAATTCGCATCCATTTGTCATTTTCCCAACCGAGCTGGACTCTTCGAAGCGTAGGTTGACACATTTTAAAAGAGAAAAATGGATATTTCAATTGTTTGGCGACAAATCCTTTTGCGCAAAAGAGACCAAGAAATATATATGTGTGTGTGTGTGTACAAGTGCAAATATGTAGAAAATAGGAAAGAACACGTTCGGTAAATAATCCGGGGTTCTTTATTGTTATGGTCCAGGTACCCCGGGTGATAGTCCAAGGTAGAACCAATAAAGAAGAACTCGAACACGGATATGGAATAACACAGATATATTACAAACAGGAATATATACAGAGAAGTAGAAAGTGTTAGTACGAACAATCAGGTTTAGTAGAGAGAACAATGTAGTCTCGACCAGTGTCACAATTCCAATGTCTTGTAGCAATTGCCTGAACGCGACTCTGTTTCGGACTGCCTCTGACTCGACTGACTGACTCGTTTGCTCTGACTGACTGACAAACTCCTGACGGACTTCACTCCAGACTTCAGATGGATTCCCTGCTTCCTCTTGAAGCTTAATTTATAATTATTTAAAAAAAAAATATGATTCCTTCGCTACATAAGAGTTCTCATGTTTCAAAAACAAAAGCCAAAAAACCTCAATATAATTATTGAAATTAAGTTAAATTAATGTATCAAGCCCTGTTTAATCCTCAAGCGAAAATTTAGGAATAACCAATCTTGAAATTTACTCATGTTCATTCGCAAAATTAATTAGTATGGAAACGGCTGGAGCGACTATTTTGATAAGGGGAGTAAGAGTTAATTTGTATCCACATCTCAGTCACCTTTGGAAAGAGTTCAAAAGAAAGAAAGAGGGCCAGAGTATCAATTTCAAAGCGAATGACGGCATTCATGTACGCACATTGTCTGGTCAGTCACAGCGACAGATAGCTGTTGGCACCATAATACGTCGTTAAGTGTCTAAAGAATTTTATTTTATTTTTATTTATTCTAAAGGGCTGTTTCGTACATGAACACGTCGCATTGAACTACAATTTGTTTTTTTGATGACTTCATAAAGGTTTTTTCTATCTTATGATTGGGTTAAGCTTTTAAACCTTTTATTAGACTATGGAATTTTATTTTATTTTTTATGCTAATTATTTAATGCAAAAATTTGTTGATGTCGGCAAAAAACACCGTGAACTCATGTCTATTGTTTAATAAATTTTCATTATTTAGAAACTTAATAATGTATTTTATACATATATATATATATATATATATATATATATATATATATATATAATTATTTATTCGAAAATTGTAACATAAATATGTTATAAAATCACTACAAAAATAACCATTTTGTTTCAAAATTTCTGTTGTCTTATCAAGTGACGTTGTTGAATGTAGAATAAACGGTTTTAAAATGGTCAAATCAAACTAGGGGAAACGCTATTACATAAGATGTAATGTAATTATGTTATAATTTTTCGAATAAATAACTATAAATAAATAAATAAATAATAATAATAATAATGAATAATTACATTTGCTCTACTCCGTATTGAGCACTCGTTTAAAAATAGTATTAATGTTGGTTATTGGAATTTATTCCGTATACACCAATCATATATTTGATACACACACACACACACACACACACACACACACACACACACACACATATATATATATATATATATATATATATATATATATATATATATATATATATTTTCCACTGGTTAAACCAAAATGGAGTAAAGAATAACTGTTTTCCCTAGAAACTTCGGCTGAAAACAGCAAGAATAGGACGTTTGCAAATGGAAATGCGTATAACTATCACTAAAGCCGGTTATTTACTTATTTCTTCCGACTGAGACGGGATCCGACACAAGGTCAGGCTTAACGTGGGGACCCGAGCATGTACACTCGGGACGGGTACAAAATTTCCCCAAGTCCCCGTAACCCGTCAGTCGCTTTGGCCTCAGTGTCGAGCACCGATTCCTCTCTCTAGTGCAATGAGGAGGTACAGCCTCGGGCAGATGTTCCCCAGGTCCGCGAATCTCACAGTATTTATTTTCCTCATCTGTATCTCTGCCCACGGTCAGAACCACAACTAAGTGGCACTGTACTCGAAGACAATTGAGAGGGGATAATCTTCCCTCAACAGGACCCTGTAAAACATTTTTGAACTTGTCTCCTGCTTGCCTTTCTATTATGGCAAGTTCAACGCAATATACGCTTTGCTATTCAGACTAATCTGTCTGTTTGGGTCATCCTACACCTAGACTTACGGTCATATCACGTTGAAAAACCGATTCGCGTACGATCGCTGAAGTTAAGCAATAATCTGGTCAGTACGTAGATGGGTAACGGCTTTGGAATACCAGGTGGTGTAAACATGGATGTGCGGGTTGGATAATGTATAACGGCTCGCAATTGTTAATCGGAGAGCTGAGTTCCGATTCCAGTAGGTTCATTAGACGCAAATAACCTCGGGAAAGATATGATTTCACCTCTTCTCCCCACTTAAGGGTTAATTAGTAGGACATGTATAGGCAAATCATTATTTCCAATTTTTTTTTAATCTGAAAAAATATGGCTTACGTCCATATCACGTTTAAACACCTGTTCCAGTATGATTACTGAAAGTAAGCAACGTCGAACCTGGTCAGTACTTGAATGGGCGACATTTAGGATATACCAGTAGCATATTTGAAGAATCGAGTAGTGCAGAATTATTATTCTTCACCTCCACTGGGTGGTCCACGTCTCCAGAATGCATCTCACTCGGCTCCCTTGTATCATCCTGTTTAGTTAGCTCACCAGCGACTAGAGGCTATACGGAGGCCCAAAACGATGCTCAAAAAATCAGTTGAAGACATATCTGTGACTAGACGAAATCGACACTGAAACCAGAATTATTATTCTTCACTTTCACTGGGTGGGCCACGTCTCCAGAATGCATCTCACTCGATTCCCTTGTATCATCCTGTTTAGGGAGCTCAATAGCGACTAGAGGCTACACGGAGGCCCAAAACGATGCTCCAAGAATCAGTTGAAGACATTCCTATTAATTCTAATTTAATATTGGATCTAATTAACAAAATGGCTCAAAGAACGTAGCGAGTTTTTTTTTTTTTTATTTCAAATGCAAATTCAATAGTTGGTTCAACCTGGTTGATTCTGTTAATTATTTTTTATTGGTGTTTTTGGGTTAATGATTAAGATTTCATCGATATATATTTAAAATGTTATTAATCATATTTTTAGCTATTATATATCGGCTATTAATATATAAGATTATTTTCGGATAATCCAACAGCCGGTTCGCTAAGCTTTTATAATCTTAAGAAACCATTAATCTATTATTCTGATTCTGATATATATATATATATATATATATATATATATATATATATATATATATATATATAATTATTCCATCATTCCGATACTAAATTAATAATTATATTATTCAGATTCTGTGATGTACTGCATTTATTAATCTATTCACATTGTGTGATGTCTTAAATTCAATATTCCGTTATTCCAATTCAGAATAATTTCTTTATTTTCAGAATATCCTAATTATTGTATCACAAACGATGGCCAGTACGTTTATCGGACTGCCTACGGTATATGTGCATCCTTTCATTTTTGGTGTATGAATTCTTCTTACGGAGACACAAGATCTCGTCACTCGGAAAAGAGAAGTTCACCTTTTTTGTCTCTCAAGTGTTTCAATTCTGACAGAAAATAATCACATTTTCCCATGATGCATCTAGCTGAAGGAGATTTGGGTTTAAAACAACAAATATGAGTATATTCTTATAAATAATTCAGAAGAAATTACACAGACTTTCTTGTTTTACTTGTTTCGGCCGTTGAAGTCTTTCCTTAAAGATAATTGTCTTCAAATCGATTTCTCATATTTTCCTAAATCGAAAATAGGAAAGTTTGCTTATCAAAACGATTCGAAGCGTAAAGAAAAAATGCCGGTTAGCAAAAATTGCCAACTCCCATTTTGGCAAAGCAATTAAATAAAACAACAAACGCTTGCTGTCGTCTTTATCGCTTGCTTAACGGCTTTCGAGCGAAAATGTCAATGTTATCTTCTGTCGATCATTTAAACTTCATTTCGCTTTCGTATTTATATTTTGCTTTCTTTCATTCGGTTTTGGGTAAGAAACGAACGAAAAAAAAGATACCAGTTGTTCTCACAAATTGTTTAGCGCTTCTCGCATTTTTTTTTTATCTTAACTTCCAAAATGGAGAGTTTGCATTTGTATTTGTTGTCATTTCGAAGAGACGCGATTGTATAGAATTTGGCATCTGATGAAGAGTCCTTCTTTTATGAAGAGTTTTTTCTTTCTTTGGGAAGCTGCATCTATTTATTCATCCATATTCCCACATTATCATCTAAACATATTTGGGTTCAACTATGTAATGACTTGAGATTAATCACTTTACTTTTGAATATATACAAAGAAAGAAGGAAATTCATGTAGATGCGTACCTACGTGAATTTCCTTCTTTCTTTATTTATTTCTTTGTCTTTATTTCTTTCACTTTCTTTTCTTTCTTTCTTTCTTTCTTTCAGTTTTCTTTCTTTTTCAACTTCTTCTTTATTTCTTTGAGTTTCCTTTTTCTTTCTTTCCTTCCTTCTTTCATTCTTCCTATCTTTATTTCTTTCTTTCCTTCTTTCTTTCTTTATCAGTTTTTTTCCTTATTTCTTTCAGTTTCTTTTTTGTCTATTTCTTTCACTTTCTTTTCTTTCTTTCTTTCTTTCCTTTCTTTCTTTCCTTCTTTCTTTCTTTCTTTCTTCTTTCTTTCTTTCACTTTTTTCTTTCTTACATATGATTCTTTTTTCTCTCTTTCTTTCAGTTTTCTTTTTGCTTTCTTTCCTTCTTTCTTTATTTTTTCCTTCTTTCAGTTACTTTTTTTCTTTCTTTTCAGTTTTTCTTTCAGCTTCTTTTCCTTTCTTTCTTTCTTTCTTTCTTTCAATTTCTTTTTTCTTTCTGTCAGTTTTTCAGTTTTTCTTTGTGTTTCTTCGGTGTCTTTTTTTTTTTCTTTCTTTCTTTCTTTCTTTCTCAGTTTCTTTCTATCTGACCTTGGGTCGTAGCACCTTTCTAAATTCATAGAAGCTACACTGGGATGCTGAGAAATATATTTAACATCTCTTGGAGACAATATCCAAGTAAATTATAGCTCTATGGACCCACCTCTGATATTTCTACAATATTAAACCATAGAGTCTAAGATTGTTGGAACCTAGACTCGAATGCTGAGAGCTATACTTAACATCTCTTGGAGATGACATCCAACTAAATCACAGCTCTATGGGCCCATCTCTGATATTTACAATCTTACACGAAAGCAGAATGCGCTTTGCAAGACACTACTAGCGAATAAAACCAGAACTGGCAAGTCGTCTACTGCTCTGGACATCTAGGCATGGAACAAGACTGTTTAGCCGCCCAACTACCACCTACATTGACCAGCTATGTTGTGACAAATAATTCCACACTAATGACCTTCCGAATATGATGCATGATCGTGATGGTTGGCGTAACAGTCTTAAGAAAGTCCGAGCTATACCTCTAAGGAATAATAATAAAAAAAACATCCTTGAATAATCCTTGTTATAAAAATTATCCAGGCTATTGTTGCAAGTGAGAAATGAAAGAATATCTTTACATCACGTGCTGAAATCGCTTGCTTTTATAAAGTAATTGTATCACAGCTAATACGATTTGGGGTCTAGTTTAATCACGTTACATACCACACGTCAGATAATTGTCTGTCTCAAAGGAGAGATTTGAGTGTCATGATCGGCAGGTGTTCCCTTGATAGCCGACGATAGAGACCTGGTCTTCGTTCTGTGTTGACTTCAAGAATGTCACTGTCTTCAGACGAGTGATTACTTCAAAACGGGAGGAAAAGAAATGAAAACAAGCTTCTCTTCGGTGACGACCTCGAAGACGCTGCTGGTAAATATTGTCAATGGTATAATAACAGGGAATTTGTATATTTTGTTAGAAACTTTTTACTTTTCACACTTCGGGTTTCAGAATCGGAGAATGGTGAGAAACGGAGAAGAAATTTATCTTAAAATGAAGAATTAAAATCTTCAACAAAGATATATAAACAAAAAGGAGGTAAATACTGGAAGAAAGGACGAAACGCAACGGTTAAAAAGGATTTTTTGTCTTTATTCATATATATGTTGTTTTTTTTTTTGTTATGATGCACCCCAACGAATTCTCAGGATTGTCTCATCCGTGATGTTATTAACGTGGGGTAATAACAAGTTTCGTGTCACCCAAGCGACCCTAACGGCAGGGGATCCCCAAGAAAATGTCCACCAAGCACACAACATCGAAGAGTATTTTTATTATTCATGAAAGGGGCCAATTTTGGCATAAGGCCAAAGATGAAGTAGCGTAGGGCTGGTCAACACTTTCTATCCTAGACCTAGCTCATCAGATTCACGATCCATTCATTCATTACATTTTGCACATTCACCACAAGAACTCACCATCCAATCCTACATTACATATTCTACAAAAAAAAACCATGACGCAAAAATTCCATTATGTATAAAAAGGTCAAATGCATTCTTCGAGTAAAGAAAATAAAATGATTATGAAATGATTTAGGGATGAACCCAGAAAACAAAAATAAACACCCAACTAAAATAACAGACACGACCACTCTACAAAATAAGAGTGGCCACTTTATTCTGTCTGTAGGCAAAATCAAGAAGCTCACTCACTAACGGAGAGGGAAGGATAAAAAATAAATGATGGCGTGAGAAAATCAAAGACTGACGCAATCAAGATACAAAAAAGGAGCGAAAACTGGAGAGGTTGTTAATATAGACATGAATCAAAAGAAAAGAAATGCCAGGAACAGGCCGGAAAAGACACATACATTAACGAGGTAAACCAAGAGAGTCTAATTTAACCAGGGGCGGTTTCCTGTGAACCCGCCCCGTTCCACCAAAGAGGACTTAAAAAAACAACTCAAGATATAACTCGATTCACTTGCCACTTTTACCCACCTTTTGTTGAAATATGTCGACACCAAACACTTTCTATCAATTCTGATCTCCATCTTGAGCTGATCCCCAAAGAACGCGACCAAATAATGATAAGAATAGCGTTCGTATCTCAAGATTCCCTCCATTCGCGACGTCCATACCACCATTCTTGCCATGCCTAGCAACGTGAAAAACCATTCGTTTCACCTTTGAAAATGGGGGTGATAAATTGTCGCATACGTTTGCGACATCGATGGATGTTTGGATTGATGCGAGCCTTCAACTCGCCGAAATATTCCAAAAACTGGTGGACCTGATGACAATGGTAGAATGCGTGCGAAGCCGTTTCCTCTAGACCAAGGTCTCACCGATGACAGTCAAATCCGTGCAGACCCCTCAGAAGGCTACGTCATTGACAGATTGCCCGTTCCGATCCAATCAAAAAGTAAGCGAAAACTCAGGGTTGCTGAGGTAATCCCTCACTGGGACCCAAGACTAGAAAGAGCGCAAATCGGTCGCGGATAAGCCGAGCCTCTCACGGACAGAGCTCAGCCCCAGAAACGGGAGGAAAGATGGTTATGCCAGGGAGGGCGTCTCTAACACTCCTCTTCAAGGTCGAGTCAACTCATGACATAGGAAATCTAACCTCGATGTGTATCGATGACTCACTAAGTGTGGCATTCTCAACCCTAACCCCTGAAACGGAAGCTGGACACAGACGTCTCTGCTAACCTTATGCTTGCGACCACCCCACTGGAGAGCAAGCGCACGATCACTTTCTTACGATCCCTGCCGAGGAGTTGAAAGAACCGGTAAAGGATGAGAGGAAAGACGTACGTGGTGCACGCCTCAGCCTTACCCGTCACAGACAACCACCTTCAGAGCCATGTACGGACCGCAGCTTCGATCTTTGCCTTTACTTCTAGAGAACCACACTCCAAGAATGCGGTCAGTTTCAAAATGAATAAAAAGAAAACTTCGTAAAGTGCTCAATACATGAAGCAGAGCAAAACCTAAGATAATCGTAAGGAGCCAGGAAAACCTAGATGGGTTTCACCTAAACGGATCGTGGCATCATAGCTTTTTACGACAATTAAAAAGTCACAAGTTTTTTGAAAAGCTAAAAGGGAAACCGGTTAAAGTAAAAAAAAAACTAAAGCATTTTTTCTGAAAACCCGCTTCCAACACCATTTTCAATTTTAGAATTTCTCTGTCAAAATAAATGTCTTATAAATATTACATATAAATAAATAAAAATCTCTGTATACAAGATTTTGTGCAGAATTTTCTAACAACTTATATATATATGCTGAAATCGGTATCACCCCAGAATTTTCTAGCAACTTATATATTAAAGACATTTTTTTTTTATGTTTAACATTCTTTTTATCGATACAAGTATTTAAGTAAATGCTCTGTTTATAATAAACAGTATTAAATAACATTTACCGGCCTGAATGTCCGAGAAATTTTCATAGAAAAGAATTCGTCCTTTGACAGGATTCGAACCTGCACCCTATACGGCCACAAAGGAGCGTTCGGTAGGCATGGTCGAATTTACTGCTTGTAAACTTCAATCTTCCATGAATCTCGTCCATTCATAACTGCTCATGGCGTATCAAATGTAAACAAATGACGTCATACATTAAGAATTGGACAAAGTCCGACAATGTCTTTAATAAATTGTCGGACTTTGTCCAATCTTAATATATATATATATATATATATATATATATATATATATATATATATTTTTAAATCGGTATCACCCCAAATTAGGCATTAAGACCACTAAGACACAAGAGGTTACAGGGTGTGGAAGAATTAGGAAAAGAAACATTAATAATGAGCAGGAAGAAGGAAGAATAATCAGGACGACAGTAGATAGCGATTGACATTGCATTTAAATTTTTGTAGATTAAAGTGTGCTAGACAGCATGAAACCGGGAGGGAGTTCTACAAGCAAGGCAGTAAAGCCACTAAGACACAAGGTTTTACAGGGCGTGGAAGGATTAGGAACAGAAACATTAATAATGAGCGGGAAGAGGAAAGAGTAATCAGGAGGAAAGTAGATAGCGATTGACATTGTATTTAAATTTTTGTAGATTAAAGTTGGCTGGAAATAATGGAGCCTGAAGGAAGTTGTACAGATGAAAAGTGCGAGAACAGAAGCTGTTAGCATAGAACTTACATCTAGCCAACTCAACTGTAAATTGATGAGATCTCAACAGCAGTCTAGTACTGCGCTTAAATTAAAAAGTTTAGGTACCATTGCAAAGAGTTCATCCTAACAATTACCATGAAATTATTTATAGAAAATGCACAGAGCGGCTAGCTTACGGTGATGGGAAAATGACTGAAGCCGAGCCGCCAGATCAGGACCAATAATATTGCTGATTCTTCTCTGAATTTTATCAAAGAGCTCTAGATAAATAGGAGGAATACCGGACCATATGTGAACGCAATATTCTAAGTATGAACGAATGGTAGCCATAGATATGAAGAAAAATATACGGAAAAAAAAACAATAATCCTAATATGCAATTATGCTGTTTTAATGTTAATATAATGTCAACGTCGGACGTTTCGGTCTAGTAAACCATCTTCAGGACATAATCATAAAACATAATTAACATTAGACTATATTTAATTCAACATGAAAAGACGATGGACATAAGAGTAAGACTAACCAAAACAGATAATTGAAATTTTTCAAGATCAGCGTTCCGTTTCAATATGATCACGTCGGCGTCACGTGGGCGATGTTGTGAAAACGTATTCCTAAAATTTGAGTATTTTGAATGAAAAATGAAGAGTTTTTTTTTAATCTAAAACTTACATGTACGTTTGTCGAGCACTAATCTTGCTAAAAAAAGGGGAAATATTAAAGAAGCCGGGTCTAGTATTCACCCTGCGTGAGATAGATATTATGCCTGCCTCATAAATCCGTCTAAGATTTTTATTATGAATATATTTTAAAATCTTCACAAAATCAAAATCGAAATTATGATCAGATTTAGTTGTGTGTACAAATAAAGCATTGTTTAAATTACCGAGGCGAATATCTCGTTTATGTCCGA